TTTTTTTTTTTTTTTTTTTTTTTCCCCCCTTCTTCTTCTTTTTGAACTGGCCAGTGAGACTGCCTTTCCTTTTCTAAAGCTTCAGTCCCCATGCTCCCACCTGGTGACTGCTCAGTAGCTTCTCTTCCTTCATTCAGTGTTTGTTTACAAGCCTTTGAGGCTGGTTTCTTTGGGTGACAGGTAGCTTATTGTCCTAAGGTGCTTCCATTTGAAAGGAAAATGCTGCTGGTTAATGAGTCTTGAAGGCTCTGAATTGTTAGTCCTGAAATCCCTCTTGGGAAAACCTCTTGTATTTTCATCTAGATGGAGTTTTAAAGACAAGCCTAGAAGCATGGAACATTTTACATGCAAAATGGCATTTATATTTATAGTTTGACATAGATGTGAACAGACGTTGATAGTTTTGCTTCATTGCTTAAGGGGCTGTTGCCCATTTCCCCAAACTGATCATCATGACTGACATCCGTAACCTCAACTGAAAAATAAAGGGCTAAAGCTGAACTGCCTTTTGACCTGTCAGGACATCTGCTGCAGGTTGTTTGAGGCAGATTGATAGATTGAGATTTGTGGCAAAGCTGTTGCAGTTGTTTCCTGACCTCTCACTTCTCCAGCAGAGGGCTTTGGTTTCTAATATAACCAGTCAGACACCTTTCATGAGCAAAGTACTCAATTGGAAAAAAAAAATGTAATAACCTTAGAGTCATTATGTGAACTATTACATTTCAGGCTATATTTTCTGCTGTGACTTCAGAAACCTTAGCTGGTTTGGCAGGCATCTTGTTAAGTGAAGCATTAAATATATTAGGCTGGGATAAAAATCCCTGAGAAAACAGGATAGCCTTTGCTGTACTCATGTATTTCTTTTCTATTGTGACATCATTTATTTTATCTTCTGTACTACATTTGCTGATGAGCCACCAGTTTGCACGGTTTTGGATCAAAAAGTGGATGTTATTCTGATACAGCTCATGAATTTTTGGAACATAAGAAGTAAATCAAGATAGAAAGGGCAGGACGGATAAACCTGTCCATAATGGCTAGCAAGCAGAAGAAATGATTAAGGTTATAAGCAAACATAGCTGGGGCTATAGTGTCATGGCACACGTAAAGTTGAAATGCATGGATATGTTTACTGGAAATAAAGAGTGATTGCATTTTTAGTTTCCAAAATACTAATGCATTCATAGCTAGCAACAAGAAATACCTGCCCACCAGCTGAACTGCATATACTTGCCATAAGCAAGGGTATATAACCCAGAGCCTTCAGCCAGGGTACTTAAAATCCACAGACTTTCTGCCACATGAGCTCAATCTGTCTTGGCTATCACAATTTTGGAGTTTATATCTTTTGTTGTTTGGAGCCAGTGGAGAATGGCAGTCACCCACACAGCAGCAGGGCTGGCTTGTTATCTAATAAAGGACTGTGGTACATATCAGTACTAACCTGTATGTGCAGTGCATTCTTAAAAAAAAGCATTCCAGAGCAACTCTAGAGATGCATACCTATTAAAGAATGAGGTTGAAAGATTATATCAGGGGTGGGCAAAATGCGGCCCACCAGGCCATTCTATCTGGCCTGTGGGGCCCCTAAAAATTTTAGGAAACTAATATTTATCTGCCCCAGCTGCCTATCATGTGGCCCTCAATGGCTTGCCAAAACTCAGTAAGTGGTCCTCCACCCAAAATTATGGCCCGCCACTGGATTATATCCTATAGAGTTTCTTTGTCCAGCCATTGTCATTGGTCAGTAAACCACAATATGTATAACCTTTTTAATTGCAAACTGTTTTCAGACTGTTCCGGTGAGATTTATTTTTCCCAGTTTTCACCTCCTGCTTTTTCTCTTTTCCCAGGAAGCAACTATGTCCAGCCCTCATAGTAATACTGGGTAATCCAGTCCATGACAAAACAATTACTTCTGCTCACAGTAGCATCAGTCTTGAGACTGATTCACCTTCCTCTGGGGTCTCAGATCATGGCCGGGGGTCCGGTTGCTCTTCCACAGCCCCTGCCCTCAGTGGACCTGTTGCCCGGACCATTTACTACATTGCAGCAGAGCTGGTTCGACTGGTAGGGTCAGTAGAATCCATGAAACCTGTGCTACAGTCTCTTTATCACCGTATGTTACTTTATCCTCCACCCCAGCACCGTGTGGAAGCCATTAAGATCATGAAAGAGGTAAGATAATCATAGCAACAAATTCAAGCAAAAAGCCAGTGGAGTAAAACATTTATGGATGATGAATATTTATAAAGATGTGCACAGAATTCCAGTGACATGTTAGCCACATTGATATCACAATAATCCTTTGAGCATATAGCCATTTCAATTTAAAGCTGCACTGTCAAATTTATTGACTCAGCAGAGACTATTCCTTTCTCATCTGTATTTTTCTCCATCACCCCAGCTGTCATGGCAACACTGGAAATAAGCATGCTGCTGTTCTGTTTGGAGCAGATCTTATGGCTGAGACATGACAGCTCTGCTGGGTGATATGGAGAAGCCGGGAATGGAATCATCTTACTCCATCCTTTCTTTTTGGTAGAAGGAGGCAGACAGCCTAACATCTTGACTCAGGGAGTTCAGATGGGCCTACTATGTTTTGATTCATTGCCAGTTTTTTGACTTACAGTCTCCTTGAGGTTCTTTAGGATAGATGCAGGGTATTGGTAACTATCAGCTTTTGGACCATGCTGGCTCCAATCTCTTCTGGCTAGCAGCCCAGTACCAGTGACAGCAGAAGAACTGAAGAGCCACTCAGCATTTTGGTGGTACTTCTTAGACCTGTGGCCAATATCAGACACTACCTTTGGGATTGCTCCATACCCCTTATTTTATACGTGCAGCCTCCTTTTCACGCATTGCATAATAACAGTTTCAAGAAGGCAAACGTGTATGTTTTTTAATGAAATGCATTTTAGCCAAAGGGTTTTCTCTCACAAAATGGAGCACCTTCTTGGTGTGAAGAAGTTTTTAAACACTGTGCAATTCATTATGAAGGTTTCTTCCTGGAGGAAATTTCCATCCCATTATCCCCTCCCCTTTCCAGAGGTGTATCATCACCTCTTAATTCTTACACAATTAAGAACAGCTACCACCTACCGCTCCGAACTGGTAGTAATTACTCTACCACTTCGTGCAAAATCCTAGCACCTAATAAATGAATGATTCAACAAAAGAGCCCTCCATCCCTTCACCAATATGTTATATTATTCAAGATGTCTGTTTATGCCCAGGAATTAAACTGTTGCATATTTAAAAAAAAAAAAAAAAGTGAAGTGTGTTTTGAACAGTTTAAAGGCCTTAGAACATTCTGTATATTACTACCTATACTGTTTCCCTAGATCTTCCCTTTTGGAGGAAGAAATAATAAATGAAATATCATCCGTCTTCTTTTACTGTGACAATTTACAGTATTAATAGCTCAGCTTCTCCTTCAACCAGATGATTTCATAAAACAATGACACTGTTTTAGCTGTATAATGTTTAGCTAGTCCTTTAGTAATTTGCACTTTCTTTTCTTTTAGATAGTAGGTAGTCCTCGGCGCCTCTGCGATTTAGCAGGGCCCTGCTCTTCTGAGCCAGACTCCAGAAAGCGATCCATCTCAAAAAGGAAGTCGCATCTGGATCTTCTTAAACTGTATGTTTTTGTTTCCTCCTTTGGCTTCTCTTTCAAGTGTACACAGTTTTAAAAAAGCTGCTAAGAACCACCCACCCAGGAAAGTATATAAATAATAACTGTGTGAACTATCCTCCTGGGTTAGATTTGACTTGTGGGCAGAGCTGTGAAAATGTAAAGGAATAAAATGTAATGAAAATTGATTGTAGTCCCTAGGGGGACAGCTTTTCAAATATATTTGAAAGCTGTAGAAAGAGGTAGATGGTCTCCTACTAGAATTTTCAAAAAACCCTGTTCTGTCAATGTATTCATAGTCATGACTGTACGTCCATGCTTTGGTTTGGTCCTGCAACATTTTTTATGTGGTTAACTATAGATTTAGGAGTAAAATAATTCACCTCAACAGAATTATTCATGCTTAAAAGGGTAACCAGCAACATAATTAGTTACAGGATCAGGACCTAATAGCCAGCATTTCCAAGGTCTTTAGGCAGATCATGGATGTTAGGCACCTAACACCTATAAATATTGCCTGAGCTTTGAATATGCCCACGGAGCAGATCTGTTGAGAAAGGAGGTGTCATTTTATGTAGGTGCTTTTTCAAAATAAAGATCCCTTCCATTTTGATTGCCTTTTTGCAGTTTTTAAGGGTTGTCTACACAAGGAAATAGCCAGGCTAGCTATAATAGAATAACTCCCCACTCTTGTTTCCTTGATGAGTGTTTCTTTGTGCCTAGGATAATCCAGTCTGAACATGGATTAACCAGACCCCACTCTTGACTGAGGAATGAACGTGTCTGTTTAGGGAGTTAAAATCACAATAACTATTGAACATTAAATTCACACCCTGGTTTATTCTGCAATAGTTTGCAGTGTAGACAAGCCCCTGGTGTGAGTTATTTTTTAAACTGTGGTTCCCCTATAAAGTAACAGCAAGTTCTACTTCCCTGTGAACAATTTAGAAGGATGATTACACAGTCTCTTTATTTCATTACAAAGAAAACTTAACATTGCATGTTAGCAATATTAGTTCATTCCAATAATCTGTTCCATGAGCCAGAATAAACTTCCCTCTGTTGTATTTATTTATTTTTCTATTGTAGGATCATGGATGGGATGACTGAAGCTTGCATTAAAGGAGGTATTGAAGCATGTTATGCCTCTGTGTCTTGTGTCTGTGCCTTCCTTGGAGCATTAGATGAACTAAGCCAAGGGAAAGGCCTTAATGAGGAGCAAGTCCACTTACTGCTTCGGCGCCTGGAAGAACTGAGGGATGGAACTGAGACAAGCCGTGACTCCATGGAAATCAACGATGCTGACTTTAGGTGGCAAAGACGCATTCTGTCATCAGAACACACACCCTGGGAATCGGGAAATGAGAAAAGCCCTGATATCAGCATTAGTGTTACCACAGATACTGGTCAGACTACTTTGGAGGGGGATATGGGGCAGACAACGCCAGAGGATAATCCTGAAAGCCAAAAAATCTTGCTGCAGTCTCCAGCTGGACAAGAAAGCAAAGAGATTCAGTATAAAGAGCCAGAGTCAGAAACAGTTGACCAGCCAGACGTTGTTCAAAGGAGCCACACCATAGTTTACCCAGATATAACTAATTTCCTTTCAGTTGACTGCAGAACACGGTCCTATGGATCTAGGTATAGTGAAAGTAACTTCAGCATTGATGACCAGGACCTTTCTAGGACTGAATTTGACTCATGTGATCAATACTCCATGGCAGCAGAGAAAGACTCTGGGAGGTCAGATGTCTCAGATATAGGCTCGGACAACTGTTCCCTGGCTGATGAAGAGCAGACCCCAAGGGACTGTCCAGGTCATAGGTCCTTGCGTACTGCTGCCCTCTCTCTAAAACTACTGAAGACTCAGGAAGCAGACCAGCACAGTGCCCGATTGTTCATACAGTCCCTTGAAACCCTTCTTCCTCGGCTTATCACTCTGCCTAGTGTAGAGGAGGTGGATTCTGCACTCCAGAACTTCTCTTCAACATTTTGCTCAGGTTTGCAAGCAGATAATTTACTGTACAACCAACATGCACTGTGTTTACACAGCCTGTCTCCAAATAAGTAATCATCATAAAGCACTTCCAGAATAACCAGGTGCATAAGAAACCAAGCATATCATTGTTCCTTTAAACAAGCTAGGTATGTTCACATTGACACACAAGGAGCATTAAGTTCCTCATCCAAAGTTCACTGAAAGTCAGTGGGAAGTCAGTCCATGGTCTTTAATAGACTCTTAGATTGAGCCCTCAGTCGCTAAAAGGAGAAGGGGAATTTTCAGAGGTGGTAGCTAAGCAAATCATTACACTGTACTGTAGTTCTAAAGAACCAAATGTTTAAAATGACCTCTCCTGAAGAAAAGCTTTGAATGTCATGTTAGCATGCAGATGAAAGGGAAGCAAACCTATCCCTATTTGAAAATAGAACCCTACAGATCTGCTTTAGTACTAGCAATTCAAAAATGTCACAGAAGAAAACAACAAAAGGTCTTACGGCAATATACTCTTAAATGCAAAGAAAGAGGAGGGATTCTATTCTCTTCACATCTGTCTCTATTACTAGTCTACATGTCAACTCTATATCATGAAAGCCCAGGCACTTGCAGCACTTGTACAGTGCTACAAAATACTCAAGAGCATAGGTTTTAAGAAGTCAAATTACTTGCCCTTAATTTTTAAGAAACTTTTAACAGCTTAATCTTTACAAGTTAAGAAGGATGAACAAGTAAAGGTTGATTTTTTTTTTTTTTTTTTCTATTGAGAATATATTTCAAATATTTATTATAGTCCAAAAAATTTTACAAAAATTGCACATTCATTAAGGGTTTCTTGTTTCCTGACAGTTGGCCAGCATAAAATAAAATACATTTCTTTTTCTTTCTTTCCTTTTTTATTTCATCATGACCAACCTTACCTTTAGTGCTCTCCTTTTCATTCATTCATGTTCTCTCATGCCCAGGCACAGTCAGAAATGGTGCACTATATCTGTTCAGTCCATCTAGGGCTTCAGATCTAAATCATGGTTGGAGAGCCATGGTCTTGTGCAAAACACCAACCTCGACTGTACTAGTAGCCAGAGCTTAACTGCTAGGGGTGAACCCTGGAGTGGGCAAAACGGTGGATCCAGCCAGCAGCCAGACTTCATTTCCCATCAACCCCTGCCTGCGTCACTGCAGCTGGCTTCCATTGAGACCCCGGCAGTGATGGTACCATGATGGTGCAGGGCCAAGGCTTTCACGGAGATGAAACCCGGCAGGGTGCATGGCTGGATGTGGAGCTGTGCTGGGGCTGGGGCCAGGATCTTGTGGCAGTGACAGTGTGGTCCAAGCCAGGGCACAGCCACAATCTGCTGCTTGTGCACCCTTGTCCAGGGTGTGCGGCCAGTGGATTGCAACTGTGCTCTGGTTCCAGACCACGCTGTCACTACCACAAGATCCCAAACCTGGAGCAGCTTCACCCCCAGCTTCACACCCTGCCAGTGCTGCAGCCCATGAGCTGGACTTTGCCTGCCCCTGGCTTAACCAGATAGGCCCTAATTTGTAAAGGTAGTTACTTGTGTGTGTAATACTAAGCACAAGAATAGTCTTGATGAAGTCCATGGGCCTCATTTTCCTTCACACAAGTTCCTTTTCTTCTCTTTGACTTTGCAAAGATGAGATGTAAAGATGTGATGGATGTAAACGTGATGTTAGGAGAGTCAGGCACTCAAGGCCATCCTCCCTTCCTCCATGTGATGGTCCTCAGGCTAAGGTGCAAGAGTAGGTCAGTTTCCCAGTAGCAGTATATGCACCTGTGCAACCTCAGGCAAGTTGCACAAGGACCCCTGTGTAAAAGCAGCAGCATAGTCTGCCTTGTCATTTCAGAGTTTTGAAGTGTTGAAAAAAGTCGATTTTGTAGCTTCATAGATTAAGGTTTGAAGAAACTATTAATGCTAAGCAGACTGAACAGATTGAAGAATCAGACCCCATAATTTCCATTTAACTTCTGTTTGAAGCCATAGCATTTCTTTTAGAAAGGTATCTAGTCTTAAGTTAAAGACTGCAAGTGGATGAGAATCGATTATGTCCCTAGGTAAGTGCTTCCAAGGGTTAATAGCCTTCCTTTTTTTTTTTTTAATTCGCTCCTTTTTTTATTTTTAATCTCATTTGGCCAAGTTTGGCAGGGAGAGTGGGTTAATAAGATCCTATTCAATAAAAAACCCCCACAACAAGTAATAAAACCTCCAGCCTCATTTACTGTGGGAAGTATCCTGCTATTTTCCTGGAACCCTACATATTAGTGTAGAATTTTTTCTTGTATCCTAATGGTAGCAGCGTAGTTCATGTTTCAGTTGATGACCCCATGTTTAAAAAAAAGATACGTTTATGAAGGACACAGTTGAAAAGCTTAGCTTCTATAAAGAGCCCAGTTGCTACAGAAATGACTTTCTGGTAGCTAAAGCTGGATAACCATTAAACAAGGATGCGCACACAGAATTTGCATTCTCTCTCTTTCTTCTGAAAACCTCCTTTCTTCCTGCTTTGTTTTGTTCATTTTTTTTTTAATCAGTGGAAGAGTGTAACATTGTAAAGTTGCAAGCTAGTGCCTAAGATACTCAAGTAACACAATTTATCAAAAGGAATTAGCGGAAAAAGCAGGAATCTGAGGTATAGGCAAGAAAAAAGTACAGATGTGTTTTCCACATGAGACTATTAAAAAAAAATTTAAAGTTAGATTAGGTAGAGAGTTGCAGGAAAAATAACGGTCAGAAGTAGACAGTGGGAAATCTTTTCCCTGAAAAATCCTCTTTCAGTTGTTTCTGAAGGAAAATTGTGACAAGAGCTAATACCACCAAGTTGGATGCTTGCTTATAATTTATTTCCTTATCTAAATGTGTCAAATACATGACCTGGATTTAAACAAAGCATTAAATCTGTGTTGCATGACTCTTCTGTGATCTGTCTATACAATTTAAATTAATTGTTGTCCTCATTAAGCCAATGGGCTAACTTTGTTGTTTGTTTTACTGGGCAGATTTTTATAATTATAGCTGGTAATCACTATTCTTTAAATGCAGACATGGCTATGTTCATGACAGCACAAAGAAGTTATTTCTAATAAACTGCATACCATTGTTTGGGTAATCAAGGAGGACGTTTTAGTACTAATTTTGCTCTGGTCTAGTATGTTCTGTTAATGGAAGGATTTTCAAGCTATTTAGGCCCTGTAAATAATGTACAAAGGCAGGTTTCCACATTAGATACTGGGTTCCTTTTTGCGAGTCAAGCATCTGTTCAATCTCTCAAATGTGCTTGAAGGAAATTGCTGGTTTCCCATGTTTTTAGAGGAAATTAGTGACTTAAGCTGGTTTATTTTGGGTGTTCAAATGGATACCTAATTTGCATGGGCAATTATCCATTTTCATATGCACTTTTATATATTGCACTTTTAATTTCAGTAACAATGCACATTAATTTGATGTGCAATTGTGCATACATTTTGTGTGTTTTAGATAAGTCTGCATTTTCTTTAAAAATCTCTTTGATGACTTATTTCTCTTTCATGCTATTCTTGTCCTGGTGTATCTTTCATGTGTAGTTATTAAGTAGTAATGTACTCTAGGAACATGTAGTTATGGCCTTGATCCAGCCTAGCATTTAAACGTATGTTTAACTTTAAACACTCAGTAATTTCTAGAACTGTACATAGGCTTAGATTCAAGCAAGTAGTAAAGTGTTTTGCTGGACTTAGGCCTATTATTGGCATTACAGTACAGACTTAAGATTTTTTTTACTAATAGCCGCAAGAAAACCAAACATTCTTTCCCTGACTAAAACCACGGAAATCCTTATGGATACAATAGGTATCTAGACTCATTGCTCCCTTTCCACACAGACCACGTCCTTGAACGAGTATTCATATTTTAGACCCACCCTTGAACAATTATTCACTTTCTAAATCCGCCCTCAAACAGTTATTCACCTTATCCACGCCCCCAAAGTGACGTCTATGGAAAGTCCAAGAAGGCAGCAGCACAGAACTTTCAAACCCTCACGAGGCAAGAAAAATGTTATTTTTTTCTGTGTGTTGTTTTTCATTTTTCTTTTCTTTTTCTCTTGTTATGGTTTGTTGTATCTTTTTTATTGCGTCTAAAAATAGGCATGATCTTTATGGTGGGAGGAGTATACTCGCAATTAACCACTTTGGCAGTTATTGAATGACACAGCTTTGCTGCATCATTTAAAAAATTTCAAAAGCTATTTCTTATTTCATGGTAAATAGTCCTCCAAAACGAACCTTTTCCCTTAATCAACTAATTGATATTCTGTAAGTGGAATATAGCAACTGATATAATACCCTGAAATACTGTGGCTGTCTACAATTTTGATATGTTTAAAAATAAACATAAGGATTCAATTGAGTATTCCAGTTTTCCTGCTAATATGTCAGCTAACTAACTTTGAACAGTATCTGCCTTAGACAATGCCACTTGACACTGCTGAAAAAAATGATTAGATGTACTATATATAAACATAGCACCTGATTTCCAGGGAGAGTGAGCACTCATGGTTTCTGTTGAAATCAGGTGTCGTGGTAAGGGCTTAGTGCATCCAAAAAGTAGAGGGTTTTTGTTACTTGCATGAGCCATACAGTATTTATTGAAAAAGTTGGGTCATAAGTAGTTCCAGTCAGGTTGGCCCGAAGTATTTCTTCCTATAATTCTAATTTTAGGTCTTGGACAGAATGTTAATTTGAGAATTAATCCTGAACACATTAGACCCCCATCCAGCAAAGCATTTAACTATGCACTTAAAGTGGAGCAGTTGTCCTATCAAAATTTTGGACTATTCACATGTTGTTTAGATCTAAACTTAAGTGCTTTGCTGGACTGGAGTCAGCAGGTTTGAACCTAGTTATGGAATGGGGAAAAAAGATGTACTGGAACCAACAGTTATTGTAATTCTTTATGCTAACAACTCAAACAATACATTACAATTAAAATCCTTCTGTTGCACTAGAATTAGAGTTGTTTTTTCCCCAGCTTAAAAGCTATGTATATTGTGAAGTTTCACTCTGCCTCTTTGTTAGGTATGATGCATTCACCAGGACTTGAGGGGAACCCCAGCTTCAGCTTCCAGACGCTTATGAATGCAGACAGCCTCTACATGGTCTCACACTACATTTTGCTGCTCAACCTGAAACTGTCCAACTCTGATTACTACAGGAAGAAACCTGCCCAACCATCTGTGCCACTGGTGAGTTTGTAATATGGAACAAACCACGATGGGAAGGAACATGTCCTGTGAGTGGCTGAAGTGGCAGCATCCCTTTCACTGGTGTGTTAGAAATCACAGGACATCATCCACCTAAAACTGAACACCAATAGTTCTCTTTATCAACTATAAGAATGCAGACATGGTTTCTACTGATATCTCTAGGGGTTGTGACCCTAACACATTGGGACAAGTTCAGGCTTGGTATCAGTGGGTGCATGTACACATGCACATTACTGCCTAGTTAACACCATAGTAAAGCTTTACAATTTACCCATGCAGTGGTATTAGGGCCAGTATTAGGGCAGGGACAGTACTATCTTATAACAGAGTACTTTACTGCATTGAAATGCATGTATGACCATGGCTGGCTGGGTCATGAGGGTGTTAAAACACAGGGGCTGCCTGCCGTCTAGACCCACACTGTAGCACCCTAGTACCCCAACCAGCCCCTCTGAATCCACTAGCCTGAACCTAGGGCTGACCCCCAGCACCCCTCTGCCAGTGTGTGGCTGTTCTACCCTGGCTCAAATTCCTGTTACCCTGGGCTCATGTGCAGACACTACACCCTCTGCAGACTGGACTAGAAATTATCAAATAACATTAAGTACATATGCTGATGCACCCAGTGAGAGTTAGGCCCAGCTAAGGACTTAAGATGGGGCCCCTAGCATACTAAGTGATCAGTTGTACTGTACTTTTAAGGCACAGGCTATGTACTTGGAAGACAGAGCAGAGGTTCCCCACTGGAAGCATCAGATGCTATCACTTCTTAGCAGTAACATCCTGTTCACAGTCTCAAGTTGGATGGTACTGGAGTAATGGCCCTGCGTACCCAGTTCTTTCTATGGATTGGCACATGCTGTGGAGATTTTGAGGGGAGTATCTCCTGCCATGGTCAAAATGGAGAACCTGTAATTTTTCCTGGCTGTTGCATGAAAAAAAAACAAAGAGAAGCACAAGCTCCTTGCACATCTCACTCTCCAATACATAGGCATGTAAAGGCTAGGCATAATCTGGGCCCAAGTTCTTATTCTTATACAGGCTCTTCCCCTCCATGCTCTGTCTCCCTGCCTCCACAGGAGTCTGTTGTGCTCAGAGAAGAGAACTGAGTCTGCTCAGTTGAGTTGAGACTTATGTTATGGTGAGCGCCTGTCATGTTTTATTTGGATTTGTATGCTTCTCTGCAGAAGGAGTTCATGAAGCAGGTCCAGTCCAGTGGTGTGCTGATCGTGTTTTCTCAGGCTTGGGTTGAGGAACTCTACCATCAGGTATTGGAAAGGAACATGCTGGGAGAGGCTGGATACTGGGGAAGACCTGAAGAGAACAGCCTTCCACTCATCACTATGTTGACTGGTCAGTATCATTACCATGGCCATATAAACATGACTAGGAATAAGGCAGGCTAATTCCTTAGTGCATTCTACAGATGCCTAAAATACTGAACACATGCCCAATATATGTGTTCAATTAGCTGTAGATCAGCATGCTGTAAACATAGGTTGTATGCTGAAGTACCAGTGCAGAAGTACCAGACTCAAATATCGTTGATATCTAGGTATTGTTCTGAATCAGTCTGTGTTACAGGGGTAGATCTGGGGGGGTAGGGGTGCAGCAGTGCAGTTGCACCTGCCTTTGATTCTTGCTCCACCAAAACTTTAAAACCATCTGTCTGGGAGCAGCAACAGCATTTCTTTTGAAGCCTCACTGAGGGAGTCAGTTGACTTTGTCTCATTACCATCTCCCTGATTCTTGCTAATCTCGCTCCACTCCACAAGTGTTAACAACCCTCCCTCCTTTTTAATGGTGTTCTAATTCAAACGGTTCTTTCTTTTGCAGTTTTGTCTGTTAGCCATTTCTGGTAATGCATCTCTTCTATTTCACAGCTCTGCAGACTATATTTAGCTCTAACTAAAAACCTTAACTCAGGTGTAGTAATTTTAACTTAAGTGGAGAAGTGACTGAATGAAGTATTGGAGGCACTGTCAAGGTGCCCAAGAAGGCTAGATTTTGTTAATGAATCTGAATGAGAGACTTGCATTTAACTGTAATTACTACAGGACTAATGACACAATATTTTTTGATAGTCTTTTTGACTATTTTGCTGAATCTTGTTTTTCTTAAACTTGCATGTAAATCTAGCAAAATAGTGCACATTCCAATAGTTTATATTTATTTTGGCTTTGATAGTAAATTGAATGCTGTAGTGCTAGCCTCATCACATATTAGTAAAGCTTCTACTTGCTCTTTAACTGGAGAAAAATGTGTTGCATTGTATCTGATGTGCCACACCATCTGCACCACCCCGCTCTTCAAAATCCCATGCTATGTTATAAGGACTTGCATTTTAAAGCATTAGATTCTCGGGCTGGGGCAGAAGTTACACATAAGCTGGTTTAAGTGATCAGAAACTGGTTCATATCTGTAACAGAACAGAAGTTCAGTGTACTTAAATCACTTTCAAAATGGCTGAAATGAGTTTAAGATAACCTGTTTGAATGTAGTATCAGACTTAACTGATTTAAGTCAAACTGGTTTATGGAACTTCTGTCCCAGAACTCTTCCCAGTTCAAGTTAACTCTCAATCCCCCAGCATCCCAGGATGCTCTGCAGCCTTGGGCTAGGCTATGCTGTCTGCTCCAGCCAAGCAGGGTTGGCCCTGCCCCTCTGCTCCCTACCCAGCGTATTATCGTGATCCTCCAGCTGGCTGAGAAGGGGGTGGGGGTGAGGGAGCCCAGGTCCAAACCCCAGTTGGGGTCTGCCTGTGAGGAAAGAGGGGTGGCCCTCCCCCTCCACCACCACTGAAGAAGGGACAGGGAGAAAAGTCTTGGAGGGCTTCTCCTCCAGCTTCCCTCACTTCCCTTTGGCAGTGGCTGGCAGGCCAGGTGGTGTGCTCTAGCACCCCCCAGCTTTTGGCCTGAGCTACTGCAGGCATGTGGCTGCATTTCCAGAATCAAAAGTGAATGCCTGTTCACTTGCTTATGGGTTCAATCGATGCAGTTTAGACTAACCTGCAAAGATTGAATTGATTCAGCCTCCAGCTTGTTTACTGTCTGTAATTCACCTCGGTGACCCCAGTAGCCCAAAACTGAATGGACTGGATTGTTTCTTAAAATCCCATTGACCATTGGGATTCAGCTTTGCTAGAATGTAATATTATATGGCCTAGGTTCTGTTCCATCTGTTAGGACCTACAGGGTGCTTGTACACGTGTAGGGACACTGCTCTGATGTGCTTTAATTACAGCGAGTTGGAGCAGACTAAATTAATCAAGTCCGCTATAGCATGCTAATTAGCACGCTTCAGCAGCCTCTGTGTCTCATCAGATGCTGATGTATTCAGCATCTCTTCATAATGGCAGTGGGGCTTGCTTTCGGAGCCGCTCTAATTAAAGCAGTCTTCCCCTACCCCCACCAAGCATGTATAAAGATGCCCTAAGTGCCTGAGTGTAATCCTATACTATCCTGCTTGAATTCCTGCAAAACCGTTAATGCACAAGACCTCCTTCTTGCTCCTTTTTGGAGTTTTGTTCAAGGCTTAGATAATGGTAGGTTACAAAAATAAACATGTTAACATTTTTCAGGGACTCAAAGTGACTAGAGTTAGACTTCTACTATGTCTGGTTAGACTCAGAAATTATCTCAGGTAGATGCTGAAATAAACCTTTGATGATTTGGAACCAGTGTCCTACACTAGCTCCAAACATCTATGATAAAATACCTATGTAAGATTTGTGACAGTAATATCTTTCTTCCTGGGGTTCTGTAGTGACAAAACAAAAGATGGTAAGTCAAAGTATAGTGTTCTTGAGCTACCATTTTTCTTCTCCACTTGCGAATTTATGTCAAGCAATTGAAGTCACTGGATCTATGCTGGATCTATGTCAGTTTACATGGAGATGGGGGGAATATGGCTCTCAGTATTCTGCTTCAGCAGTCTGTCTACACAGTACAAAGCTGCTATTATCATACATAAATAACCTTGAAAATATGCCAAAAGGGCTTTTAAACCTTGACCAGAATATGTAAATAAATATTGATGAAGGAAGAAGGAACTTTGTAAGGGATAGCCACCTAACAACAGCACAGTCCATTTTACCAGACTCCTTTGTTCCTATGGGGGCTGTCAGGGAGAATCTAGTGAAAAGAGAAGTCTTGTTTTTGTGTGCTAGGTTGGGCTGCCTGAGAACTTTTTTTGTACAAATAATTTATTTATTAACAAATAAATGCAATTTGGATGGACCAAATCTACTTAGAAGTTTGAAGAGTTTGGGATAAAAAAGAGCAGACGAATTAAAATAAAGTTGTATCATTTCAGTCTCAAGAGACATTTCCTTTAGAAATACAATTAAATATCTAAATATTTTACAACAAAAATGAAATAATACATTTAATTCAATATGAAATGTTTAACAGGAAATGTTTCAGATTGACGTGCAATGAAACAATTTTCTTTCTAATTTGTGTTCCCCTCCTGAATTAAAAAAAAAAATATATATATATAGTTGATTTCACAGCTCCAGTCCTGGATAAACACCTTGAGGCTTGTGTTCTTACTGTGAGATTGTCCGAGTGCCAAAAGAGCATTGTTTTCATGGTATCACAGCAGTATCATTTTAATATATTCATGGCACAGCAGCACAAGGACAAGGAGTCAGAAACTAATCACTGATTGAACTGCCATTGGCTGAGGGTTCATACTCAGCCAGAATGTGCTAAAATGATACTGCTGTGAAAAAATTCTGTTGAGAAACTAAAAGACTTGAACATCTGTAACAAATTCTTCAGTTCTCCGTTTATTTTTCCTAAAGGAAAAATTAAGGTGACTGTTGTGAAGAAGATAAGGATGCCTATACTACCTTATAAGTATTTATGTCTACTCTGCTTGAGTGGTGTTTGATATTTGCTTGCAAGGTGTTGATGCAAGCAGAAGGTCCCCTTTGTGTAGAAAAGGGGACAAGAGTGTTACTTAGCAAGAATGCATGAGTTTGACATTTTACCTTTGACTTGTAACCACAGTGAGTTGGGGGCTTTGGCAGGAATATGATTAGAAAGCTTTAGAGCTGATAAAAAGGTGGCACAGAGAGGCAGACTACTGGAGAGCAGACTGACCTGCTGTCTTCAAAGGTTTTATCTGGGATACATATAGGCATGGATTGGCCTAGAGTAGGTGAGATATACATGTAGACATTCTGCTCTACTAACCACAATGCTGTATTTTCTTTCTTGCATACCACATGCCCCCAAATTAAATATGTACCCTGTTTTGGGAAGGGGGGGCAGATTTTTCCACAATTGTGGCTGAATCCTGTACACTCTTCTGCCTCAGCAGAAGCTAGAGTTTAAACATTTTTGCAGCCACTGCTGACTTCAGCTTCTCAGCCAAAAGCTGTTATCAATTTGGCAGCAGCTCTGAATGGTTAAAACTGTAGCTCTGATGTTGCACAAGGAACTCCACCCCTCTCTTCCTGGGGTCACCAGAGAGAGCAGCATGGCAGCCATTATAGCTGTCATCCATGCTTCCATTCCTCCCTTCCAGCACAGAAAATCAGCTTCCCCACTTTAGATATACATCCTAATTTTGGAGGAAGTACATGTGGTATGCAAGTAAATACAGTATATTATATTAACCTTTCTCTGATTAGGTATTGTTCTTATTGGTGGGATCACAGAATACGTTGTTTTGAAAAGCCTGGTTTGGAGCATTGTTTTCATCTCTGGGCACAGACCCTGAAGGAGGCAGCCTTGCAGGAGATAAACTTAGATAAGCCTCATGAGCAGTCACAGAGGATGCACATACAATGCTGCAGTCCAGGCACCCAAGGGGAGAGTTGGGAAAACTGTGGATTCAGAGATGAAGGCATAGGGCCTCTGACTGTGAGCCACAGCAGATCTCAGGAAGAAGTGTCCTAAGAATGTCAGTGGAAACCTCTTCCCTTGTTTTATTTACAATTATTCTGGCCAAAACACTCAAAAGCATAATTCTTGTTTACAAGAATCACGTGTCTGCTTTAAGCTCCCCTTTACACTGCCAGAGAAGTTACTGAGCCCTTGCGAGTGTAATATCAAACATTTTGTATTTCTCTCAGGATAGTGAGCTGGTATGAAATGCCCTTCATACCCTGTAGGTGTGTTGAATAGTAACCTGTTTTGGTTTGGTTTTTGTTGTTGTTGTTTTTGTTTTGTTTTTTATGGTCTGACAGACATTGATGGCTTGGGAAGCAGTGCCATTGGAGGACAACTGATGGCGTCTGCATCAACACAATCCCCTCTCTCACAGATCCGGAAGACGGATGATTCTGTTGTGGCAGGTAATAAGCCATGTTATGTGCATATGTGTGTCTATTGGCATCAGCGTGTGTGTATCTACTCCTGCGTATGGTAGATCCCGTGGGAATTTATTCAGGTAAATGGCATTTCAGACAAATGGGTTTCTTGGAAATGCAGATGTTGAATGGCATTTGCCAATCCCCTGGACATAGTTGAAATGGGCCTTGTCTAAGAGTGGCTTAGGTCAATGAGAATCAATGAGTATATTATACACCCATGAACTAAGGGATAGTTTTGCTGCTGTAACATTTTGAGAGTAGAATGATCAACTGTGTCTTGTGTGCAAATTCATCTCTGGTGTGACTCCATTGAAGTCAGTGATGTTGAACCATTAATTAATTTAACAAAGTCTTCTTCGGTATTGTAATCACAGCTGAGGCCATGCCAGCCTTTAGGGTGCTTTTTATTGATATAAACAAATGAAACTAAGTTTAAATGTAAAGCAGCAAAGATCAATAAAGCCAGCACACATGTAAAAGCATCAGAGGGTCCAACATGTTGCAGAGAACTGTTTTGCTTTCCAGGAAAATGATTAATGCATTTCTTGTTCCAGGTGTTGCTTTTTCTCGATACCTTCTAACTGGTTGCTGGAAAAACTTAATTGACACCTTATCCACACCTTTGACTGGTCGTATGGCAGGAAGCTCCAAAGGGTTAGCATTCATCCTGGGAGCTGAGGGGGCCAAGGAGCAGACCCAGAAAGAGAGAGACTCTATTTGCATGAGCCTGGATGGCCTGAGGAAGGCAGCACGACTGAGCTGTGCCCTAGGTAACGCCACTAACTTAGTTCCTAGATGAGTTTATGTAATTAATGAATTGATGTTTAGCAAATTTTCCTGGGGAGGAAGATAGCAAACTAGGAAGTAGCATACAGCTGATATAGATATAAGTCTGTTTCCTCTTGAAACTGTCTGATACAGTACCTAAATCTAATGGAGGAGGTGATTGAATATACTGACCCATGTTGTTTCTTTACAGGGGTTGCTGCTAACTGTGCATCTGCCCTTGCCCAAATGGCTGCTGCTTCCTGTGTCCAAGAAGACAAGGAGGAAAAAGAAACCCAAGAGCCAAGTGATGCTATAACTCAAGGTAGCTATTATTACTCAAGAAGTCCATAATATCTAATATTTCCTATGTAAGTGTTTTAAGGTATTGTGCTATAAACAGAAAAACAGAGTGGGTTGGGTATCACTTTATATTCCCTTGCCAGGTAAATATACAGGAAGTATACCTACAGGGTAACAGTAAGTTTCTTGGTGGGGGGGGTGTTCTGTTTTGGGATCTTTGTCATTACTTCATATACCCTCTTTTATTATAAGTTTTGTTAGGCTAATACAGGTATAATGCATATTTGTGTTGATAACATCTTAAAAACTTGTGCATCTTATGTAGCTGGTATTATAACAGGTTGAGTAGGACACCAACTGCTCATTCTTGCTTACACTTGCAGTTTCACTCATCTGACTTATTCATGTATGCACCTATTCTTCTCTCATATCATCATCAAATGTTTAAAATGACCTGTCTTGCTCAATTGTATTGTTATGTGCAATGAAGCTAGAAAAATTACAGTAACGTGCCAAAAATCTGTCATCTCCAGGTCCCTACTTCAAATCCCATGACCTAGTAGTTGACGAAAGAGGCCTCTGACCTCTTATAGCTACTTGGTTTTGTCAGTGAAATGAGTTTGATCAGTCCTGATTGCTGAGGAAAGAAGTCCCCATCAAAAAAACTATAATCGCCCCTGCCTCTAATTGGAAAACCTATTTAATGTCTTGGCAGAGAGGCCAAAGACTGAATAGATCTGTGGGTGAACAGTCTTCTGACCTTAGAGTTCAGAGTTGAGACCTGTTGGATAGCAGTATAGGAGCTGAGGCCAACTACTTTGTGACTATTTCCAGGGTTTCAAAGTTTTTGAATTCCAAAGCAGGACACAGACTAAACCTTCTAAACTTCTTAATGAAATACAGTTGTCTTCGAAAATGTCTAGGATCAGTTTTTCAGATGGGGCCCCTTTCATCAGAATTCACCAGAGTTCACTCTAGACTCATCAAAAACTTAGCTGAAATGAGTACATTTCCACAAACTTTTCAGTTTCAACAAAAATACATTTAGTTAAAAATTGTCAAACCAGCTCTAAAGAGAAGCTTGTGCTATTGGTAGCAATGTTGTGTTTGTCCTGTGGGTGATAAGATGTGAATCTGCAGGACACAATCTGGCATCTTTCATGAGCAGATGCGCATTCTCTTGCATGCAAAATTAAACAGCAGGGATTTTATATCTCTAATTATAATAGAGCAGCATTTCTCAACCAGTGGGTCATGACCCAAAAGTGGGTCACAAGAATATTTGAAAGGATCGTGAGCAGGTCCCCAGAAAAACCCGTGAAAATACGGGTTTCCCCTTGCAGGCTGGCAGCATTCCAGCCTGCAAGCAGCTGCTTGGGATGATTGGAGGCAGTGGGTGTGCATGCATCTGCGCACACAGACGCACGTGGCCAGCATAGAGAGGCTGGGTCGTGGGAGCAGCACTGGCCGCTGGACACAGGTAAGTATGGGGAGCAGGGGATGGAGGTCCAGAGGACTCTCCAGAGGGCTGGGGGTGGGGCATGTGTTTGCATGCACACGTGCATGCCTGCCTAACTGCTGGTGCTGGAGACAGTGGCCAGGCACAGGGCCACAACAGGGCAAGGGGAGCAGGGGGAGAAAGTGCCTGGCCCTTCAGCAAGGAAAGGAGGCAGGGGTAGTCCTTGCAGTAAAGAGCTGCATGGCACACAGCTGGAGCCTATACACACAGGGGCTTGCACTTTCTGCTCATGCTCTGCTCTGAGTGGGACAGAGGCAGCTGGGGGCCCCCTCCAGCAGGGCTTGGGGGAGGTGGGGGGCAGGGGACTGCAGATGGGGAGTGAGGGGTGCCAGCATGACCTGGGGGGGGGGCAGGGGGTTGTGGTTTGTAGGTGAGGGGCATCAGCAGGACCAGGGGGCTGTGGCTTGAGGGCAAGGGGCACCAGCAGGGCCAGGGGGTCTTTGGCTTGGAGGGGAGGGGTGCTAGCAAGGTCTGGGGGCGGGCAGGAGACTGTGGGTCAGGCACTGGCAGGGCCAGGGAGTATGGGTTGGGACAAGCAATCAATCTTGACAAATGGGTTCCAGTACAAAAAAGGATGAGAACCACTGTAATAGACCATGTCTAGGAGGGGAAAGAGAGATTCTTGCTTTTCTATTTTGGCTTAAACTCCTTTTTAATATATAGATTCATGTAGTAGGATATAGCCCTCTACACCCCCACTGTATACTAGAAGAAATTCCTGTTTGTTTCCCAAATGCCAAACATTTCAGTGTTCTTTTATTTTTAACACCTACAGTGAAACAGAAAGTGGAGCAAAAATTGGAGCAGATGGGGAAAGTTCAGGGAGTCTGCCTGCATACTGCACATGTTTTGTGCATGGATGCCATCCTTAATGTGGGACTGGAGATGGGAAGTCACAATCAAGACTGTTGGCCTCATTTGTTCAGGTAGAGCAGCCTGCTGGCTTATGGTCACACTATTGATTTTTAACAGAACAAACCCCCCATCTAGTGAATGAAGGGAAAAAAGAGAGTGAGGAAGATGGGAAATTATTTTTTTTGCATTTACTTTATTGG